TGCTATATGAAACAATTGTTCCAGTTTGTGAACCAAATATTAAATTTGTTTGCACACATCTCACACTGAATGTGTGAGACTCAACGCTCAGGCTAAAAAGTGGCAGTTTAAGGTATTTCCGGAGTAAGGTACATGTATCAAAAGTTTCTATAAGGCTTAAAACCATGGAATGTTATCATATAATTCACAACAGGCCAGGAGTAAATTATAAAAATTGATTTTAAACTACTACTTAAAAAAACACATTTCCATTTTAGAAGCCCAAGGTCACTGCAACCATGTTCTGTTTTAATCCTGCTGGACCTAATTAATTTTTGGATCTTTTGCCTCAATGAATTCGAATAAAAACTTAAATTTTTCATCACATTAGGCGTCTGCAGTTGTTCAATTAGAGTAGGCAGATTCCCTTCAAAAAAATGTGCTAGTTATTTTCAAGATTCCAATCACAACATGTTTTCTTATCACGAATTACAAAAGGCAGAGAAGATAATTATTACAAGCATCTCTAGAATTTTCCGATCGAATCCAACGAGATTCAGCAGAAAAATATACGGATGATGGGTCAATTAACATCAAACACAATAAATAATAGGTTAATCGACTTAAAAACTGCTGAATATAGAGATATCAAGTACAACTATGCGCAAAATGCGAACATGTCTCTGTCTAATAAAAAGTGCTGACCGAAGCACAAAGTCACAACATCATACATACATTATATAGTTTATTTGTTAATGCAGGTTGGTAAAAGTCAGCCAATGGCTGATGTGGACCTGCCTATCTAAAACATTAAGGTCTAATTGCATTAACTAGGATAAATACAGGTGTGAGGTATATAAGAAATTAAGAGTATGTAAAAATTACTATGTCCATTGTAATCTATTATCAGTAACTAAAAGGAGAAATAGATAAATTGAATTATTAAATAAATTGAATAAATTATTCAAAATAATAAAACTCATCATCCTTGTTTGCAATCAGGCATGATTCCCTCGCGGAACTTAATTTATCTAGTAGTGTCTTGTCTTTTTTTATGTTTTTCTTAAAACTTGCGTAGCTAACAGAAAGGCAGGATATTCCACACGGTAGGCCCTCTAAAGGATAAGGTTGTTCTTCCTATGGAGTAATTGTACTTTGGTACCTTAAATCCATCCCTTCTTCTTAGATTATAGGGTCACTGCTTAGTTTCGTGGAATAAATCACGTATTGGTTTAGGTACTAAACCGTGATAAATCTGTAAATCTATGTATCTGTCTTTTACAACAAATGTTTCAAGGCTAGTAGCAGAACGAAATCCATTCAAATTCGTTACAATGATAATGAATAAGTGAATCAACGTAAAAAACTATTAAATATATAAAGTTATCAAGTATGGCTATGCGAACTCTGCATTGAACAAACAAGAAGTTCGAAGCACCAAGTAGCCATGAGGTTGAGACAATTCCCTCGCTAGTAATAAAAAGTTGAAAAGTATGCATGTGGTAAATGAAAGACTGTACCTTGGCGAGAATTGTCCGCTTAGAAACGTTAAACAAGTCTTTCGAGGTAGAGATCAACTGAACCCCACCCGCACCTCAGCCACGTTGGAATCTGCTGCTAAACTAGTTACCAGGTTGTGCCTAAATCTTATGCAACATCACACATCATTAGATCCCTAGTGATGACGTAATTAGCAACTACTCGGAGGGATGAGGGGTGGGGGGGGGGAAGGTGTTACAGCTATACAGCTACACAAACGCTAATTTCCTCAATGTTGTCGATAACAAGTATTTCTGCCACAGTTCTTCCACGCCGAATCCATCTTCTTCAGGAAGTTCTCGGGGTGGTTTTCAGGTATGAAAATTATGGAATTAGTGGGCGTACTTCTTTTCTCTTTACTAACCATTTTTTGTTGGGTCGGTGGAGTAATTTAGGAGATTTGTTTTCGATTCCAATGTTTTTTCCATGGACTTGGTAAAAATTTGACATGCCTCAAGTGTTGTTCTTCTCTTATTTCTCATTTCAAAGTTTACACGAGTTTTTTCATTCCAATCTGATATCAGGTTTTTTGATCCAGCTCCATGCGGACTCACGTGACAACATTTTTGCGATTAAAGATCATGAAATGCTGAGTGGGTTCGCGTGAACACTTTATATGTATAGGGGAATGCGCCAAGTTGGGTCACATGAAATTTCCTGTTTGTATGATAAGAGGTGCATTGTGGGCTCTCATGACAAAAGTCTTGATTGTAAAATGTGATGCGCTTTGTGGGATCACGTAAAAAACTGTTTGTATAACATAATAAGCTGTGTGTTTTCACGTGACAAAGTCTTGATTGTAAATCGTTGTGCGCTCTGTGCGATCACGTAAACAACTGTTCGTATAACATGATATGCTGTGTGGGCTTACGTGACAGAATCCTATATGTAAATCGTGATGCACAATTTGGGATCTCGTAAACAATTGTTCGTATAAAGTGATGCGCAGGGTGGGCTCACAAGCTTTTTAATTCTTCGCCCAATTAGAACTCTTCAAACATGTGTCAACTTATTTTGACGTTGACTGTAGATGCTATGAAAAGAAATGCAAACGTTGCCAGAGTAGAGATGGCCTTTATCGACGTTGCAGTTCAAGTGCTGGTTTCAAAGCCCCCCAGCTTCATTTCATTTGTGTTACATGCATCAGCGGCACTGGATTCCGCATGAGAGGCCAAGGATGACAAGGCAAAGAGGTATACCAACATTCTTCGCCAGCATCGCCCTTTGCTCCACAATCCAGCCGTATTTAGCAAAAGAAAATTAGTCGCAGATAAGGAAGAGGCAGATGCTGTGAAAGTGAAAGAGAACAGCATTCAGAGACATTCCGGTACCGGAAGTACTGGAGCAGGAGCTTTAGGATAGGATGCACTGGTCCCACTTTTCAAGGCAGAGTGGCCAAATGGTCAGCGTGTCGGACTCGCAATCCGCCCGCTCCTGGGTTTGAGTCACCCCCTGACCATTACCTGGATTTTTTTTTATGTTTGAAGCGGACGGCCAGGCTCCCGTGAGGGCGTGCAATGCCTGCCAACCAACAGGTCTAATCCAACCCTAGGCCGGACTGCAATGCCAGTAGAGTTGGGACCACAACAAACGAGGGACACCTGTCGCCAACTTCGCTGGAGAATCGAACCCCACCCCACTTAAACACTGTCACACACACTCCAAAGATTAAACTCACACGCTCAAAGTATGCAGCAATATATACCTAACTGAGAAAAAATATCAATTCAATACACTCAACAACATTAATTTTAAAATGGAGAAGAGTACAATCGACAAAACAGAAGTAACTAGGTCATGAGCACAGCACAGAACAAGCCACTAACAGCTTACTTACTTAATAGGTAATTGAACAAAGCAAATAAAATCCTCTTTTTGAAGCAAGAGAATTTGGAAATTTCAATCAATTTACAGCACTTCAGAGAATAGTAGGGTGGTTTTTAATCCCCACGTTCTATTTCCAAACTAGAGATGAAAGCCAGAAGTCAAAATCATTTAAAGTTGTTTCACAAAGAGGAATCTGATCACAATTTTTTAAAAACATTTAAATTTTATTTTGACCTACGCGTGAAATTCAAGTTCAGAATTGATCCATCTGGATTAGTTGCAATTTGAGCAGACGCGAAAGAAAAGGCTGAAAATAAATAAGCTTAACAGGATTGAAAACTTTACTATGCAGACTTTTTTTATTCTGAGGATTTTTAAACACATTTCACACACCATTTTAAATCAATACTTGTTTCAATGTACCTTGTGAGTCGAAAAAAGGAGGAAAACAAATCATCCACACAGTTACTATGAAACATCTATGTAGTTTAGAAATTGTACGAGTGACATGAATGCCCTGAAATGCTATTATCAGCTCAGCTAGAGCTAAATGACACAAAGATCGATATTTTACTACCCATAATTTTCCAAATTTATATCCACTTGAACCAGAACAAGTTTTAAGGATTTGGCTTTTGAAACACAAATTCTGTCCCTACTAGTTGCAGAGAATCCAAAATAACTTCAGATACTATCAAAGGGAAGATATAAATAATACACTTTAAATCAATGCTTTTTACCGTTTTAATCTCACAGGAAATTATAAACCTGTAACTGCATTACTTGTCGATTCACAACAAATATGTTCCATGTTTTGGCTTCATGCATTGGAGTTCAGTTTTTCATTGTCTCGGACATATGTAGTCTGCTGTGCAATCACACGAAGTGGATGCCACTCAAAGACTTTGCAGTTCTCTCCGGCATTCCAACCAGAGCATGTTTCTCCAAGTTGTACAATCAACAGAGCAGATAATTTCTGAAATTTTCCTCACTTCCCGAACGAATCTGGCCAGATTCGACAAAATAAGTGAGTAACTTCAAATACTGCCATTAGCGGACAGACATTAAGTGTTGATCTCAACACTGAAAACAGATTAAAGATTCGCAAAAGTCTCCAACAACCATGCATGAGTTGAAACACAAAATTTCATGGCTAGCAGCCGAGAAAAAATTCAGCAAAATTCGGAAAAATGATAAAGAATAAGTGAGTCAACATCAAAAACTGCTGCATATGGTGATATGGGCACCAATTCGCAAAATACCAACACATCTCTATCATACAGAAAGTGCTGACAGAAGCAACATCAGGAAGTGCTGACCGAAGCACTCAGGCTCAAGCGAGGTTTAACAAGTTGGCTGTGAGAACACATAGTTCATTGTCAGTATCCGAACGAATCCAGTCAAATTCAACAAAATGATAATGAATAAGTGAATTAACAGAAAAAACCTGCCAAATATAACGATATCAATTATAACTATGAGCACCAATCAACAGGTGGTTTCGAAAATAGCATAAGTATCCATCAAACGGGAAGTGCTGACTAGAGCACTAATATAAGCCACGAGTTCCAACAATTTAGCTCCAAAGTCACAATTCTCTCGGTGGTAGTAACAGGAATAAAGGTAAAAATTATATGATACATGAATTATTTTACCTTGACAAGAATCCTTTGCTTAGAAATCGTCAAACAAGTCTATCGAAGTAGAGATCAACCACAGCCAACTCGGACGTCCGCCATGTTTCCAGACTATTCAAACAGACTGGTTACCAGTCTCTGTTAGCAAATTTGAAATGTAAAAATATCGCGTGATATTTGTACTCGTCTCGCGCGTTATTTGTATTCTACGAAACTCATTTGGAAAAAGATTGTAAATATAAATATAAAAGATAATTCACTTATCCTAAATTAAGACACTGTGTGCATAGTAAGAAACATGCCTAGTCCAGCCATAATGAAAATAATTACCAATGCGTAGGTCTTATCGTATTTCCTCGAAAAAACGCCTTGGCGCTTAACTTATTTAAAGTTTTGGCTAAAAGGAGAGGCCATAATCATTTTCCTGTACTGATTCTGAAAATTTTGAAACTTGAAAATTTATCGATAAAGAGGCAAAATTAAAACAAGTTTTTCCTTACATCTCTATTATCTAAAAAATTAAGGGAGGAGGGGGTGCGGTTCAATTCAGAGAGGCGTTAATTTGATTGACATTATGGCCAAGGTAGTAGGCGCTTATTCAAGTTAGGGCGCTAATGGTATGGTATTTGCCTAAGCCAGAACACTGAGATTCAGTTTCAGACTTCGCGCGATACTAGACACATATCATCACATGTCGAAAACACGATATCGTGACTTTTAGCCATTTGAGAAGTAAAAGTATTAGGGTACGTGTTTTGAGGCAAATGTTCGGTTGTTGGGTGCATGGAAAAGAGAAAACAGTGGTTTAGATAACCAAGGAAGTTTCCAGAAGATCGATCCACCGCAGTTGTTTGATCTTCTTTAACGTCTGTGAAAAGAGATTGTTATCGTTTCGAGTTTCATCGCTGAACTTGCAGCTGACGAAAACCCTCCAGATACAAATTGTAATCCTCACACTAGGTTCTTGGTGGTGTTCGGGATTCTCTCTCCATGCAATCTGAGTCAAATTTGTAAATTTCAACAAATCAGATATTTTTACCCATCATGGTTGTCTCCATATGAATAACAAGCAAACAGAAATTTCACTAAGAAGTCTTTAATATATCACCGTCTCCTAGAGAGAGAGATTTTTGTATCCATTGGATAATTAAACCTTATTCTATCAGCACTTCCTTCAGTAACTTTATTGTTCTTTGAACAATCGCGGCCTTATGTTTTTAAAAGCTGCCTTATATACTGACTCCCATCAGTTTTGATTGGCCACTGAAGCACATAAATAACTGGGCCCTATAAAGTTTGGGCGGAATATTTGGATAGATATCAGGATTTTACTTCCGCATTTCTTCAATTCGTTTTTTTCTACTCGAAGGTCTTTTTGTAAGGTTCCACAGGATGTCCTCGGAGCTGTGCCTTAAAGAGGTTTGGAAAGTTGTAATGAAGCGAAGCTTCTCCTCTGATTCTGTGATAAAAATCAAAACATTCTTGCACCCTACTGATTGGCTGAACACGCAGAATGCAAAAGAAAAATGATATTTTCCGTTTTTGCGTAAACTTCGTCCCTAATCTATCCGTTGTGTAAACACGCTTTGAGGCGAACGACAATTACAATAGTTATAGTTCCTTCAGTTACTTCGAATTTAATTTTCTCTGTTTTATAGGATGTCTGTTATCGTGGAAATTGTTCTGATCTCAGATGGATGAAACTTTCCAATCATACCGCACAGCTATGACAGAGGTTTTCGGTTCATTTCACAACTGCACACTTTCAGAATCAGTTATGAAGGGAAAAAATCGACAAATAACTCAATAATTGAACTTTGTACACCCTAACATCAGTATGCATATTCTCCATACTGTTCTCGATACATTTCCTAAGGAGCTGACAAGGAGAATTTGTTCAACAATCAAGAGCTTCTCTAGTCGATCATCATTTCCTTTATTCTCCTGACCTTAATGTTGCTTCAGAGGTGATGTTGTAAGGAGAAATTAGATGCTGGTCACTCTTAGTATTCAAAGGGTTAAGGACTTTTTACTATCCTCTCATTCTACTTTTCACTTTTCGTTATTGTTTTGGGAGGCGTTTTGTAAAGGAATTCATTTTTGCGCGCTTGGAATATATCTATTTATTAATTTTTAAATATTAATTTTATTCTGCCGCAGTTTTGCGTTGAATTTAGCTCAGACTGGCAAAGTACAATCTCTGAGCTCTTTAACACCTGAGGGTGACTAACATCTAATTTCTCCCCAAGGTATCACTGCTAAATCAATGCTTATGAGAATTAAGAAAATGATCGCAGACTTGAAAAGCTCTGGATATTTAAACTAAATTATCCTCGTCAGTGTCGTAGGAAATGTATAAAGGATATGTAGTATGGGGAAAATAAATGCTGTGGGGCGTGAAGGGTCAAGAGCTTCAGTAAAACTAAAAATATTACATTGAATGCCAAGATATGAAAAAAATTGTGGTACGCTGTTGTTGTCTTTATTCCCAACAGGTAGACAGATAGTTACCTTTTGATATTTTGAAATCATTATCATATTGATGACTTTAACAGTCTACAACAATATTGGTTTGCATCGCATATTGTGGTGTCTAAGTATGTTGTACTATAGCAGCTTGGTTGCTAAGGGACCGGTCATTATTTATCCCCGAGGGGGGTGGGGCGGGGAGGATTTTGGTTGTTTCAAGTTCAAATTGACTTAATCCCACCATAAGAAAGTCTGTACTCGAACTTAGTACCCCACCCAGCCGAAGCTTGTCCCGGTTTTCCTGAGCATGAAGTGACTAGGAGTATTACTACTCCCCCCCGGATGGGATGCTAGTCAATCATAAGGTTACCCACCCCACTCCCCAGCATTTTATCAGGTTTTCTCAATAGTTAGACGGTACTCATTTATACTCCAAGGAGAAGGGGGGGAGGCACTGTAACTGAAGTCACGTGCAATTGTGCTCATCCCTATACTTAAAATATCCACACGCCTGCGGTACCAAACATGAGTAGGAAAATACGTATTGGAAAAATAAATAAACTCACTGTGAAGAAAGCAGGCATTTAAAAAAAGCCATGACCGTGTTTCTTATAAAGTAGACATGAAAGTTGATCCTCAGGACTACATTTTTACAGAAAACCCAACAAATGACTCGACATATTTACGTAACATTACGGAACGATATACTGCCAGAGTAAAGGACCACGTCTTCAATACGACACATTGACTCGGGTGGGCCTAGAACCCAGACCTCTCGATGAGTGTTGTGTGGATGTTACAAAAGAAGGGACAATATTATCTCTTCCAAAAACTCGAACCAGAAAACATTGAGTGAACATCCTACGCCGTAAACGACAAGT